CTTGTGTTCTCAGAGCAAAGAGAGAAAAAAAGAAGGTTATTGTTCAAAACATTTTATCAGGAATAAGGACTGTGATCATTAATGTCTCCAGTCAAGACAGATAGATGATTGCTTTGATTACAGACCTGTTTTCCTGACAGTCCAGAGCAGCATATATAGTAGAGCACTGGTGCCTACTGTGCATCTCTGGTATGGCTGAGTAAAGCACTTGTTCATTTGCAGTGAAGGGTAACATGAAACAGGCCTCAGCCTTCTGATGGACAGGGAGATTTCACCTTCGCCAGTGAATGATAATGCATTATTAAATTTGCCTCTCTGCTCACTAGATACACTTAGCTGACCACAGCATATTTATCTCCCCATCCGAGGCTCACGTCTTGGCAGGAGAAAGCATTCTGTCACTTTTGAGGCATTTCAAAGATTAAAAAGAACCTCTCTCTTTTCAACGTCCCTAAAAGCATCCCCCCTTTTCAGTGAAATGTGATTAGCAGGAGATGGTGTCACGCAATGGAACATTCATGAGGGGGAGAACAAATATCCAAATGAACTCCCATGTCCTCAAGGAATAGCCCCTCTCTGCACCATCAGCAATCTCTCTCACATGGGCTGGGGAAATTTGATTGATCCTCTATTGAATTATTTTTTTGCACTCTTTCATTTCAACAGGACGCACTGACAAGTTGTTTGATCATAAAGCATTATTGTCTGCCAAGTCACATTTCGGGGTTGTGATGGCTAATGATCTTGCCTCCTGACTTAGGGAAAGTCAGGTAGTCAGCATGTGTTTGAAGCTTGCAACGCCAAGGACATCGGGAGGACTGAACAAAACACCATGCATTAAAGTCAGAAAGATGAAGAGAAGGAGCTTACACTGAACATATCGAACTTTTAATGATACTGTATGGGGGATACCATCAATGTCAGTGAAATATTTACACCGCAAAAAGAGCATAAAACTGATCCTGAAACTTTTGCCTGACCCGAAGTACCCTGACTTCTTTTTTATCGCTGCAAATGCTTATGCAAAGAAGGAACAGAACAAAGACTACAAAGGCATCAAATCACTTTTTTTGTCTTTTTCATCTTTTTTTCAAACTACACCCCCCCCCTCCACATGAGCCCATCAGCGTCCACAGGTCCTTGCCCAAAGCAGCTCTATGTAATAGACTGTGACACTGGGACCTGCTCCACTTCATCATTCAGGCAGTAAACTGGGACTGCAGACAGTGCACAGTACCCCAGCCCTAAGCACATCAACTGGACATCTAGACAGCATCCTGACAAAGAAAAGGCGTGGCAAATCAGCTTTGTCTATTGTGGTCACACCAGTGCTCGATGCATCAACGATTGCCCAGTTGATAGTAAGTATGAAAGGATGCACCTCTAGGTGACATAATACACCACAAGCATCCATTAATGCTTGGGAAGAGTGCATCTCCCGTTATGTCAACAAGGATATATAATGTTTACCAGGGAAGTGCCAATATCACATTACCAGTGAATCACCCACTTTTAAAATATGGTTTACAGAATCAGTTTACATACCGTAGTTGCCTCTGACACTACTGTCAGACATTTTAGCTCGGCATAAAAGTGATGTGGCATGTTTAAGCGCAGTGGGAGGGCTGAGGTAAAGTGGTGAAATTGGTCGTTGGCAAAATGCTTAAACTGCCACATGGTATTTACAGAAAACTCTTATACTTCGACGTACATACATATGGCTTGTGTTTCAAACACCCTTTTCCCCATGGAAATAAGATGATGTCAAGTGTTTGATGTCCAGAGTGAGTTTACAGCCAAAGGCTTCCGTACCTTTTCAAATTTCCCCTTGTTTGTCAGCTACCTGCTGTTTCACGAGACAGAGGCTTGTCGGAAGCTATCACCACAGACTTTCTGTTTGAAGCAATTCAATTAGTCACATGTGAGACTCTACTAGCCTTTTTTCTTACACATCATCTAATCTCCCCCTTTTTTCTTTGGCAAAATCTGGACAAAAAATTATTGAGTTCAAGCAACAGCCCCTCCCCCCCCCACCCCCAAAAAAAATTAACCATCTGGTTACTCTGCACTGGGTGACACAACTTTGGAAACAATCTTTTTTAGGCAACAACAAACAGGCTTTGTCCTTCATCAGCAGAGATGACATGAAAAAGATGAGACATGTTCATAGGATATGAGTGATGTGACATTATAGTGGCTGTCTCTGAGGTGTCTAGCTATTTAAATAGCCTCCATATGAGCCAGGGCACTGCATCCTTCCTCTGCGCCCACTGTGCTCTGTTCTAAGACTGCATTGCAAGAGATTAATTTAATGCTCTGCCAGGATCATAAAGATCAAACAAGTGGAGAGATATCATTAAACCATTGGAATGTTATCTCATTTATCTAAACAAACTGATGCGATGAACAAGCCTAATTAAAATGCTCACCATAAACAAAGCTTCGGATGGTGAGGCCTCTCCCCTCTTTAACAATGGAACACATTTATTTTATTAATCTAATGCATCATGTATCATATCATTACAGTTCAATATATCTATCATTAATTTTATTCCCTTCACTTAAAGCTTTTATTGGAATTACTTTGGTTATTAGTTGGTTCTAATGTATTGGTTACCTCTGAATCTGGCTGCTACAATCTCTCTTATCTCGCTGCATAAACCTGTGCATGTTATTCAAATTGCCTCATTTATTATGATAGCTTCCTCATGTAAATTGTGCTGACTGCTCGCCCTTGCACAGTCCTCATTAGACTAATGAAAACCTTCAAACGAAAAAACTAAACAACCTGCCAAATAAAGGTCTGGGGTTATTATGAAAATTACAACTGTGGGAGCCGGGAGAAGCTCTCTTCATTAATTCATGCTCAGCAAATTGGTAACTAATTTAGTTGCACTCCTCTGCATTAATGGGTTATTTTATAAAAATGTTTTCCACAGCCCGAGACCTCTGGTGCACACACTGGAGAGCTCAGAATCCTAATCAAGTCCAGTGACATATTAGGAATTGACAATCTCAAAGATAATACAGCGCATGTTTGTGGGTAGATGTGTGTGGGTCAACTAGCGAGAATATTGGTGTGGATTGCTGGGTCATTTGCTTTCTCCTCTAACATTGCGAAGAAATTACAGTCCATTTGTGTTGATTATCTGAGTATGGAGGAGGCACTTCAGTTAAGAAGTCAGATTTCTGCTACTGAGGAAACATTCAGTTGATTTAGTATGTGGATCTTTGGTTCAACCTCCTCCTTTCTCTGTGTTGCTCTGTTTGCTCTCTTTTTGTCACACACATTCACACACCCCGCACCCACACCCACTCATACACATCAGCATAGACAGTTAGACAGTTTGTGACCCATAAATTCAGCTCATGATCCCGCTAATTATTACTATTCACTGCTTCACACCCTGTGAGTGAAGGTCTAACACTGATCTTCACGTCAGCATAGCCAACAGGGAACATACAGCCCAATGATTTCCATAGTGGTTTTAATATCATTATCAGCCTCACCCCACCCTGTATCACCCAGCACAGCACAGCACAGCACAGCACAACCCGCCCCTGCTCAGCTCAAAACCAACAGAGAATACTAAAATCTATTATTTGCTTCATTTTGTATTTAATCCGCAACGGTAGTAGATTTCTGTCTTTTTTTCTTTTCTTTTTTTTTTTTTTACAAGCACAGCAAAACTCTAATGAAATAATGGCAGCAATTAATAATAAAAACATTTGCTCATGACAATGTAACTGAGGTTCAGAATTTTGAATGTTTTCCCCTCCAAGTTCAGAGTTAATGGGGATGATCGGAAAAATCACATGTGACCAAGTCTACTGCTCTATACATTATTTAAATTAAAATATATATAATATATTGGTATATAAAATTCTGATTTAAAAAATTAGTAGTGCAAAATCTTTGTGAAAATCTTAATAAACCTATTTCTTCTGATAACATTCAGTAGTCACACTGTTTAATGTTTTTATAATTACTTAAGAGAACTCGGAGCAGCTCTTTAATAATTCTGACCATTTTTTTCTTTTTTCTATCTGTTAACGGAATATTCTGAGCTGTCCACACCTATTAACTGTAACTGCGGGGAACAATGTCCTATTACAGCAGAGGACATGGGTGTATGGCAATGTACAAATCTGTGAAAATTAGTTTCAAGTGATTTGAACCTTTCAAAAAAGGCAGGTAATTTTTGCATAAATATGTAAAAACCAATGCAGTTTATCTGTAGATTTCTATTGCAAGAGGTTGTCTTTAAATGTCATGACAGCACGTGTAATGTATGGGCTGACATGTGCAGTAAATGTAAAACACTGTAAACACAGTGTTACTGTGGAGATCCAAAAACAAGCATAATGTGCGCAACATTTCATCCAAACATTTATACACATATATATCTTTGACTAACTAGTTTAAGAGTACTGTTATAGTCACACAATCTACAACATACATTGGAAGCAGGAAGAATAAAGAGGCTGACTGCAAATCGTGTCCAAGGCATTTCTCAAACTATATTATCAGTTTTAAGGCTTTAAAGCAGAGTTCTAGAAATCTTATGTGTTTGTTTTGGTGAGAAAATACACTAGGAATGGAAAATGTTTTCTAGTGGGTCTACACTTCCTTCTAGATTATTTTCTGTGGTAAAATTCCCCTCCAATTGGTCCAAAAAGGGTATTTTATCAAAATTGACTAGACTTGAAACTGAAACTATAGTTGGTCCTCCTGTCTGCTGTTTTTGTGATACAGACTCACAAACCTGTTCTGCTCTCATTAAATTGTTGAGCCCTCATTTTTGTTATCAGACTTAATTCTCAGAAATGCAACTATTATTGGCTTATAGAACAGAGGCCGTCAAGTAGAGCCAACGTGCAGCATTCAGTCACTTGTTTCTCATAACATCTGTCATTTTCTGAGGGCGTATTTGGAAAATCCTTGTCATGCATCTCTGACCACTCTATGAAACTTTTTTTAAAAATGAAACCTGACTCACCTTTGTCAGTGTGCATCCTCTTTACTTCATGGCTCATGTCGTGGGCCAGGTCTCCCTCTTTAGGCCCAGGCGGGATGTTGGGGGACAGGCCTAGCAGGGCATGGTTCATGGACAGGCCATTGTGGTGTGCCGCTGGAGAGAGGGTGATGTTGGGAACGTTACTAAGAAGTAGTTTTTATACTCAGTCTTTGTAAATTAGACAAAAACGACAACATTCTGCACAGCTCATTCTGCTTTTTTTCTTCACCATTTATCTGTGTTCTCTTATAAAGAGACGTACGTATCCTGTCTGACGAGCTTTCTGTGTGGGCTGGGGAGCTGGACACACTGCTGCTGCGGTGGGACGACGGGTGACTGCCGGGCCTCCTGTTGTCTTCTAAGGAGGGAGCAGGGGAAGGACTGTCCGGCACACGTTCCTGAAACCCCAGCAGTGACAAAAAACACACAGACACACACAGACAAAATAAATATCCAATACAGATGGAAACATAACACCACAGGAGGTTATACTTAAACCACCTGGTAATGTGACATTGCTGCTTTAGTTTAGTTTATAAATTTACCTTTATAACAGAGGTGACCATTCTGGAGGGCAGACTCTGGCCCTGTGCTGCAGCGGCCATGTTTGCAATGGTGCTGAGGTGGTTCATCTGGCTCATCGCCATGGTGACAGAGGCTGGGGGCAGGCTGACTGGGATCAGGGGGTGTGGCATCATCATGAAGGGGAGTTCCAGGCCTGAGACACATGAAGAGGTCGTTGGTTACTCAATGATGCATATTATGAGTGAGATATTCACAGGGGAAACTTCTAAAGCTCTGGCTCAAAACTCAAAACCTGCTGCTGTTCATTCGGCAATCAGCAATTCCCACCACTGAGCTCCCCTTTAAAATTGGTGTCCAATAACACTAAAGCTTTACACTGCCATCCATTAGAGAAAAAGTGGAATAATTCAGATTAATCGCTTCTCGGCTATCTTTCCATGTTAACATAATACACATAAATGTTTTACAACATACGTTAATAATAGATACTACTGCAATAATAATAAAGAAAATGGGGATGATAACTATATACACAGTCATTCAAAGACCAAAGTTTACACAGCAATAAAGATGCATCAATTATTCTATGATGAATAAAAAGGGCACATTATGGAAATTGTCTCAATATTTACATATAAAAAATATCTCTGTAAAAACAAAAGCAATCTTGAAAGCCATTACCCAAATGACTAGTTAAATGTGCTAATGACAAACAAGTACCATCAGACCACAGTATGGCAATGACTTTAGGCTAATTATACCAGCCTATATTTCAGGCCGCAGAGAAAGAGAGAGAGAGAGGGAGAGAGAGAGTGTGAGACTAAAACAAGTAAAGTTACTTTCTGCTCACACAATAATGGGATTTTTCACTATTTCTCTTTCTCTTTTATATGCACACAAATTATTCCATTACAACATCAGAGATATCTTACAAATGTTTTAAATTATTCAATTGCTGTCTAGCAATAGACGCCTAATTGGGAAAACTGAACCATTAGTAGTCCAAAAATGTCAAGAACGTCTAATAAAGATACCATAGGGGTTAGTAGTTACTCAGACTGTGGCCCTGCACTGTGCTTCTGAATGGCTTAATGAAAACAAGCCAACTTTCAAAGGACATGAGCGCACACAGAAGGTCAAAGCTAGGTGTCTGTACCCCCACACACACGCGCATACACAACCACGGCACCCGCCTCCCTCTCCCTCTGCTCTATGGGGACTTTGAACTGGCAGGATCAAAAGTGACTGGGAACAGTTTGGTCTCATTCCTCCGCCACTCAGATGCTTTTCCTCAAATCCTTTAAAGAAAACCTCATAGACACTATTGGATCTGATTGAGCCTCTCTGTTGATTTTTCACTCCTTTTTTTCTCTTTTTCTTGGCAGCCCAGTTCAAGGTAAAAAAGCTGCGTAAAAGAAAGAGGGGGGAAAAAAAGATACTGCACTACAGAAAGCTGATCCACAAAACAACTCCACTCTTCTTTTCTGACAAAACATCAGTAGCCAAAGGGCAAGGAGATCTGCATGGCGAAGCCTCTAAAGAGAAGGACACTGGTTGAAAATGAAAGGACATGAGAAGAACTCCTCTTTGTCATTCTCCTCCTTCCAAAAGAAGCATTGATTTCCATAAGAAAGATGGCATGCAGTTTCTCAGTGGCGAGCATACCCAAACAATATAAAGCAGGGGAGATTAAAGAAAGGCGGAAGCCAAGCAGCACCTTGTATCAGCGCCTCTGCTGTAGCTCAGACTGAATCAATTACCACTCAGCAGGCTAAGCTCAATTAAAAAACACCACAGAGGGCCTGATTGCGGGGGTACTTACTGTAGGACAACATGGAGAGGTTTAGGCTACCTATCAGCCATTCAAGGCCACTCAAGGGCCAGAATGAAGAGACTTATTTTGCCTTTGAGGTGGATACATTACACCCATTCAATCAAACACGGCTATACGCATAGCCACATCAATAAACTATTACTAAGAAATGAAAAAGTGGACAATCACCTACAATAACATGTACTCTCTCTGTTAATCACTTCCTTCTACATGCATCTTTGTTATATCTTTTACTTGATGGTATATGAATTTTTCTCCACCTGACAAGACAGCGTGGTGGGGAAACACTGGACCTCTGTTCGCTCTAAGTGGTATTAGTCTCGCTTTCAGTGCCTGTCCAGCCCCTTTCATGTCACCCCATCCTAAAGCAGTGTTTCTCCCATAAAGGCCCATTCAGGCCACTGCAGGGGAATGTGCCACAGACCAACGAGGGTCCACCAAATCCCTTTATTTGTTGCTGAAAGAAGCCAGGTGAGAAGGATATTGGTTTATTCAAGGAACCTGGCATTTTAGCCCGACAGTTAAGTGTTCTCATTTCATTCATATGTATTTCTTCGCATTTGCTAGACTGCTAAATAAAAGGATCACTGAGAAACAATTTCTAACTTGGTAACAGGGATTCTTTTGTATTTCTTTTCCAAAAACAGAAGCATTAGTCAGACTCATTAATCACCTAGATATTTTGTGTATATTCCAGTGGGCAAACATATTCGTCAGTTTGTGTTTATCTCTGATACAGAAGTTCAGATCTGATGAGAGGTGAATTCCCAATTGCCCCCCTCTCTCCTGAAGGGCATAAACAATGCATTTGGAGTAATTTACCTGAAGTAAGCCTGAGGGACCTGCAAAGGTGAACTTCTATTTACCATCATTAAAACTACAAATCACTTAATACCAATATAAACAGCTCAGCTATTATGTCGTGCAGTGCTCGGGAGTTCACGCATGGATAAGCAAAGATCTGAATCACGGAGGATGAATTGAATGAATTAAAACAGCCCTTGGTTACAACATGATTAAAAAGCTGTTACATCAGAACCAAACCGCACGGCTGACGGTAGGTCCAATACTTAAAAGAATCACACCGAAAGAAGATTGAATGTTGAATGTTTTAAAATGATTAGAAAGAGAACAGTAATTTATTTTGATGACAGAAATGATAACCTGCAGTGATTTGTGCAGCAGTTAATCTTCATCTAAACGGGACTTCAGCCTTTCTGGCTGTCCAACCCTACAGAGGAAAATAAGAAAAAAGAAACTAAGCCTGTTGTCATTGAAAATGGTATGGAGGAGCAGCCAGCCCCTTACCCTTAACTCTGTTGTGGACAGATTTCCCCTGACAAAAATTAAACTAGCTCCTACTTGGCACTTTATTATCTCTTCAACTGAATGATTTATTGTTTGTGGAGCGAAAAGAACCAAAGAGAGGGGGAAGATTACATTTCCAGCCAAAGCTCAAGCCTGATCTCGTTTTTTTACTCCCTCTGTCCAGGAAAAAAAGCTTCCGACAAACAATAATGTCAGCTGTAATTGATCGGAGGTCGCCGGCTGGGCCTGCAGTAAAAGCGCACTATTTAAGCGACAATCGGCCCTGCGCTCTTCAGACGCTGGCTAATGAAGCTGTCTGTCTGGGCTATTTACCTTCTCTTAAATGGAAGGGGAGAGATGTACTGTAAGAGACAGGGCTGGAGAGGATCTGCCTCTCACTCCCATGAAATAGGACCTGCACATGCCTCAGGAATGTATAATTGGTTGGCACAGCCAAAGCTGGGGATCCGGTGCTAATTAAATGACTTGTTTAAAGCCTATCTGTCTTTGTTTGGGAGGCTCTGGGCTTCAGAACAATGCATTGTAAATGTTGTTGTCAAACAAACATTCCTGGTTATCCTTTGATTTGAATTGAACAAGACAAAGGGCTGATTTGCTCGGCACTAAGCCTTTGGTTTTCATGGTGTTGAGATATTTTTTTCCTCTTCTGATCTGTCAAACTGAACAGGACCATTCCAGTCAAGCAGCTAAATGAACTGGCTCACTGCACAATGCATATGCAGTCCGCCGTTGCAAAACAATCTCGGTTTTCCTCCTAATTGCGCTTGTAAAATGGCCCCATGTCGTGTATGTATTTCTCCAACAAAGGTGAGACGGCGGTGCACACACATGGAGAGTCTTTGTTGTGGTCGTATCAAGGATTTGCACACCAGTTCCAAAAGGAAATGAATGGCTCATGACAAAGTGTCTGTCATCCGGTGAGACATTTAGAGGTCTCTCCATAGCACTAATCAGCTATTCATCTTTACTATAACTGTTAATCTCCTCCAAAATCAGAAGCCCTGCCATGTGAGATGGAGGAAGCCTTATAGCCATTAGATCAAACATAAGACACAGCCTCCATAAATATGTTGTCTGGCATCGTGGTGCCACTTTACACAACACAAACGCATACTTACACATGTACAGAAACACAACTGCTCCCGCATTCACACACCCACACTCACATGCAAACAAGAAAAAACAGACACACACACACACACACACACACAGATGGCAGGTTCAGTCAAGGCTGGTGAGTCCTGTTTCTCATTAAAATGGGGGGAGAGAGGAAGGTATTGAGCTTTGATGTAGCCACCCACAGCCCCTCAGTGTCATTGAATGAAACTTTGAAGCCTTTTGTGTTTACGCAGTTAATGTTGATAATAAAGCAAACATCTTGCCTTTGTTAAATACCTGCTGTACACTCGTGAATGTGCACGCGCGCACACACACACACACAACAGCAAACACGCAAACGGACGCATAAAAAGAATACATCTCGCAGTAACAAGGAGAGAAAAACATGAAAACATACGGGTACACGCTCAGACAACGATGCAGTATAGATAATTGAGTATAGGTGCTTGTACACATGGAGCCCGCCAGGCAGAAAAACACATGCAAACAATATTCTTTACATTCCAAAAGCAAAGATGATTGGACAACATTTTGAGCTAATTCACAGCAACAAACAAAATGTGTTTAGCATGCCAGGATAAAGAGATACACTTTCCAGTGATACAGATGGGCAAAGATTTCCTGCCAAGATGCCTAATGCAATGTAATGTAAGAGAAACCATGATAAGAAAACATTTCTGGTTTGATGAGGTAACATAATTGCTTTCCTAACCAAACCACTGGAGTGTAACATGTGGTAGAAATTATCAAGGAGACAGACAGAGGTGTTTGTCCTTTAAGTGTATAAAATCTAAGGCAGGCAACTTTTATAGGATAATTTAAATCCTTGGCTCTAATGGCACACATTCCTTATGAAAATTGAAAGATCAATCATCTCTGTGGCAGATCTGTTGTGAAAAAAGTTCTTCCTA